TTTTTTTTGTAGAGATAAGGTCTTGCTCTATCACCCAGGCTAGAGTGCAGTGGCATGATCATACCTCATTGCACCCTTGAACTGGGGTCAAGTGACCCTCCTTGCCTTAGCTTCCCAAGTAGCTGAGACTACAGTCATGTACCAACACACCTAGCTAATTTTTAAATATTTTTGTAGAGATGAAAATGTTGTGTTGCCCAGGCTGGTCTTGAACTTTTGGCCTCAAGGGATCCTCCCGCCTGGGCCTCCCAGAGTACTGGCATTACTCTGGTGTCATGAGCCACCATTTTCAGGTTAAAATATATATATATATATATACACACACACACCCCCCACAATACAAACTCCCCTCTTGAGTTTGTTGTTTACAAAGAGTTGTTTATTACAAAACTGTACATTTGAGTCCACCATAGACAAATATCCTCTCCATCTCAAATGGAAACTATTTTCTACTCTTTTTGGGGAAAAGAGTGTAGGTTTACTAGGTAATAAATATTCCATACTTCATATGATAAAATGTTATTTCTCTATTTCGATTGCTTTGCCTATTTCTTTTATTCTCACATGCATTTAATTTTCTAGGTACCCTTCTATTATACTATTTAGATATTCCTAATACCCTGAGTTACTTGGACTAAGTCCTAAAAATTGAGAAATAATTGTTGCTACTATGTAAATATGTACTTAACAACTGTCAAATCTTTTAAAAGTCAAGTTCATTTTGAAATGTAAACTCTGGCTTTTATCATCACTATAAAATTTTTCTTTGCTTAGGGAGGTAGCTGTTTGTTTATAGAGATTGACTGATCATTTTTACTCTACATAATCTTCCTTCTTGACTAGGATAAATTATGTGAATAAATAAAATGAAGACATATTTAAGCTATTTCTCAGAAGGCCAATATTTTCCTTTTCCATGTTTATTTTCATTAAAGGACTTCAGTAATATTTTATAGTCTTCTACCTGGAACCAATAACAATTATTACAACTTTCCCAATTAATTGGATCACATTCTCATGCTTCTGTGAATTGCTAAGAATTGTAATGGAAAGACAGATATAATACTTAAATTTAACTCATTTTTAACAGTAGAAATTTTGTGTCAAAAATACACTTTACTTAGGTAAAAGTATGTGAAAAACCCAGGCCACTACAGAAAACCTTCATCAAAAATATTGCAGATCAATATCTCTTTTGTGAAGGCTTATCATCCTTTACAGAAACCTCTTATTTTGGGGTTGTTATGGGTTAGCAAACGAACTCCTTGTTTGCCCAAAATAACTGCAATAGAAAGTCAGTGATAAGGACTAATTATTGTATTTTAAGAAAGGACTTCTCATGGAACAAAGAGCTTTGTGTTACAATTATCTATGAGGCTTATTAATTTATGTCAGAATTTTGGAGGAAGGTAGGGATGGACATATATCATTTGAAAAGTATTATTGGTGACTAATTTCAGGGAGAGGTTTAATTGCCTCCAATCGATGACATTAAAGATAAATTAATGGTGAAGGTGATATTTGGGCTTGGGTTTGCTGTGAGGGTTAACATTTTTGCAGGTAAAGATAGAGGTATTTAAAAACTCCAGCTCAAAGAAAGGGTGTATTGAGAAAGAGGAAGAGTAAGTTGTCTATTTTGTCAGCAAAATAAGATTCATATGGGAGAGTAACTGAAAATAACCCTGTAAAAGTTGGCTTGTGATCACATCTTAGGTCACCTAGAAAGTGATTTTAGTGTCTTGGAATTTCTAGGTTTAGTAAAATTCAACGAAAACTATATTGATGAAGATAAATTTGGTGGTATGTAAAAGACAGATAGACTGTAGGTGGACTTTGAGTAAGGAAGGTAAGTGAGGGGGAGTAATTTAAAAAGTAATATAGGTGACATGGGGCATGTTCATGCATAAAAAGTGTGACTTTCAAGGATTTGAATTTGAGGGTTGTTAATAATTAGTCATGATTTCATATTAAACAAATTGTTTTCTAAGAATCATCGTGTATGGATGAAAGTGGCAATTAGAAACATAGGAAGGGAGGATGAAGATAGTGGTTTGGGAATACCTCAATAAAAGTCTAATTTGAATCTTGGAAGCAGATGAGAACACTTAAAGGACAGGATATAGAGTGAAGTTGAGGTTGGGAGAAAATGATGAACTCATTTCAGAACAGCTGAAGGGGCCAGGAGGCCAGGAGTTCGAGACCAGCCTGAGCAAGAGTGAGACTCCTGTCTCTACAAAAAAATAGAAAAATTAGCAGGGCATGGTGGGATGTGCCTGTAGTCACAGCTACTTGGAAGGCTGAGGCGGGAGGATTGCTTGAGCCCAGGAGTTTGAGGTGCACACTAGCCGGGAGAACAGAGTGAGGCTCTGTCTCAAAAAAAAAACCTGAAACAACAACAACAAAAAACAGCTGAAGGATCAAAAGCATCAAAGCACAATGGGTAGAAATTCCACTAGATTTTGAAGTGGTAAGTGATATCTCATTGTGGTTTTGGTTTGGATTTCCCTGTTGATTAGAGATGTTGAGCATTTTTTCATATGTTTGTTGGCCGTTAGTCTATCTTGTTTTGAAAAGTTTCTGTTCATATCATTTGCCCACTTTTCAATGGGGTTGTTTGGTTTTTTCTTGCTGATTTTCCTGAGTTCTATATAGATTCTAGTTATCAGCCCTTTATCAGATGTATAGCATGCAAATATTTTCTCCCATTCTGTAGGTTGTCTGTTCCCTCTAGTGGTAGTTTCTTTGGCTATTCAGAAGCTTTTTAATTTGACCAGGTCCCATTTATTTAATTTTGTTGATGCCATGATTGCTTTTGGGATCATCTTCATAAATTCTTTGCCTAGGCCAATGTCTATAAGAGTTTTCCAATGTTTTCTTCTAGAATTCTTATGGTTTCATGCCTTAGGTTTAAGTCTGTTATCTATCATGGATTAATTTTTGTGAGCGATGAGAGGTACAGGTCCCATTTCAGTCTTATACACGTGGCTATCCAATTTTCCCAGCACCATTTATTGCATTGGGATTCTTTTCCCCAGTGTATGTCTTTGTCTGCTTTGTCAAAGATCAGATGGCAATATGAGGATGGTTTTATGTCTGGGTTCTCTGTTCTGATCCATTAGACTGTGTGTCTGTTCTTATGGTAGTACCATGCTGTTTTGGTTATTATACCCTCTATAATAATAAAAAATAATTAATTAAAAAAATTTCTAGGAGAGTATCCAAGAATATCACACTATGCCTACCATGAATCATCAAATCAAGAAGACCCAATACCTGGCTTCAAGAATTTCATAGAATAAAGATATGTGTCCTATATAAATATGACCATAATAGAAGGCAGAATATTATTAATATAAGAGGTATAAGAAAGATAAATCACAGTGTGATGAGAATTAAAGAAAAATCTCTGCCTTTTTTCCCTCATTGAATGAGTCCATCAAGAGTCATGATATTTTTAGTCGTTTTAAAGTGGAGAAATTTCCCCTGGGAGAATATGGAGAATAATAGGTATTTTTGAGAAGAGAGTAACTTAAGCAAATGAGTACAAAGAAAATCCCAAATGTACCTAGAAACAAGGAATGGTCCATGTTGGTAACCACATGCAGTCCCCATAGGAGAGATTATGAGATAAGGCAAGAAAAATAATGTGAGAAAAATCTCTTGGGTAACTTTAAATGCTAGACTAGGACACTTTGACACTTCTCAAAAGTCATCTGAAAGCTATCAAAAAATGTGAAGCAATAGGAATAAAAAGTGTTTCAGAAAGATGACTGTAAGTGTTAAGTGCATGATGAGTAAGGTTGGGATAAACAAGGTGACACAATAAGAAGCTATTATAATACTAAAGGAGAACAGCATTTATAAAAACTTATTTAGGAAAGCATTATACTACATATGTAATTATTTTACTTGGAGTTGGGAACATTGGAGTGAAATGTTCGAGAAAACTATCTCTGTAAAGGATATCCAAAAAGGATAAAATACCTCAAGACTTGATTAAGGGACTGCTCTATGTAATATTATGGGTGAGCACTAAAATTTATCTAATGAAATAAACTTATATTATAAAAGAAATAATGTAAATCATATTGGAGACTGTAAAAACAGGTATGTATTCATAAACACAAGACTTAGAAAGGGCAACCACATGTGGAATCATGAAGTCTTGAAACAATATATAAATTCTGAGGAAGAGAAAATTTCAGAATATTTCATCCTTAAAAAGTTCACTTAATACAAGTCCTACCTCTTCAAAGATTTCAAAACCCTTCTATTATTTTGTTTTCTTGAGAAAAAGTATCTGAATAGTTGCTAATATTTCCTGTCTCTTTACAAAACACACACAGACACACACACACACACACACAGACACACACGCACACACCCCAAAACACCTTTCTCTTTCTCTTCTATTAGTAGATTCTTGAGATCCTGGATTCCTAGAGAGTTGAGGAGTTTTTTCTTTTTTTCTTTTTTTTTTGCTTTTTTGCTGGTCAAGTGAAGCAGGAGTTTTCTTAACATGGATGCTGACCTAAGAATATGAAGTTTCCTGAACTCTAGAACAAAGGAATTTGAACTTAGTGTTGTTTAAATGATTTATTTGTCAGTTAGCTTTCTATATTTATTTAAAAGTGTGTGGGGAAAAAGTTTTTCTAAGGCATGAGGAAGCCACAGGTATGGTCACACTAAATACAAAAGCCGCTAATCACCTAAGAATGCCGACAACAAACGTGAGAAATGTCCTACACTTTAACAACAATGAAGAAAAAATTCACCGCTTGAAATAAAACTTTTCATGTTATTAATATTTTTGTAATTCGTACTTACTAAGTGGGCCACATGATGTCGCTCTTTACCGCAAATTCTTCCATAGTCAACAAAACGAAGTCATTTGTTTTTCCACTGGAAAGACGCTTCACTCTCTTTCCCTCTTCCGATGCTCAACAATGGCCAGGATTGAAATGAAGAGATAAAAAGATTGCTATAAATTTGGAGGCAAGCTTCGCTGACTAGAATAAAACGCCAGTAAATTGAAATGGTGTGCCCCAGTGGATGTGACCCAGGGGTCCGACATCTACTGCAGTTTATTATAATTCTAGCAGCCTGGAAGGCGGGGAGCGGCCAGATACACTACTCGCTTCCGGAGGAGGCCAAACACGGCACCTTCGTGGGACGCATCGCGCAGGACCTGGGGCTGGAGCTGGCGGAGCTGGTGCCGCGCCTGTTCCGGGTGGCGGCCAAAGGCCGCTGGGACCTGCTGGAGGTGAATCTGCAGAATGGCATTTTGTTTGTGAATTCTCGGATCGACCGGGAGGAGCTGTGCGGGCGGAGCGCGGAGTGCAGCATCCACCTGGAGGTGATCGTGGACAGGCCGCTGCAGGTTTTCCATGTGGAGGTGGAGGTGAAGGACATTAATGACAACCCGCCGGTGTTCCCCGCGACACAAAAGAATCTGTTCATCGCGGAATCCAGGCTACTTGACTCTCGGTTTCCACTAGAGGGCGCCTCGGATGCCGATATCGGGGAGAACGCTCTGCTCACTTACAGACTGAGCCCCAACGAGTATTTCTCGCTGGATGTACCAACCAAGGATGAGCAGGTAAAACCTCTTGGACTTGTATTACGGAAGCCTTTAGACAGGGAAGAAGCTCCGGAGCTTCATTTATTTCTCATGGCCACCGATGGGGGCAAACCCGAACTAACTGGCACCGTTCAGTTACTCATCACGGTTCTGGATGCCAATGACAATGCCCCAGTTTTCGACAGGACACTCTATAAAGTGAAGTTGCCAGAAAATGTCCCTAACGGAACGTTGGTGATTAAACTCAATGCCTCAGATTTAGATGAAGGCTTGAACGGGGACATTATTTATTCATTCTCTAGTGATGTTTCTCCAGATATAAAATCCAAGTTCCACATAGACCCGGTAAGTGGGGAAATTACAGTGATAGGACTAATTGATTTTGAAGAAAGTAAAGCGCACAAGATTCGAGTAGAGGCTATTGATAAAGGCTTCCCACCACTGGCTGGTCACTGTACAGTTCTTGTGGAAGTTGTGGATGCTAATGACAATGCTCCACAGTTGACTATCACTTCACTGTCTCTCCCTATCTCAGAGAACGCCCCGCCAGGCACAGTCATCACACTGATTAGCGTGTTTGACTTAGATTTTGGAGCCAACGCTCAGGTGACCTGCTCCCTGACTCCCCCAGTTCCCTTCAAGCTGGTGTCCACCTTCAAAAATCACTATTCATTGGTGCTGGACAGCGCCCTGGACAGAGAGAACGTGTCGGCCTATGAGCTGGTGGTGACAGCTCGGGACGGGGGCTCGCCTTCGCTGTGGGCCACAGCCAGCGTGTCCGTGGAGGTGGCCGACGTGAACGACAACGCGCCGGCGTTCCCACAGCCCGAGTACACGGTGTTCGTGAAGGAGAACAACCCGCCAGGCTGCCACATGGACGCGCAGGAGAACGCGCGGGTGTCCTACTCGCTGGTGGAGCGGCGGGTGGGCGAGCGCGCGCTGTCGAGCTACGTGTCGGTGCACGCGGAGAGCGGCAAGGTGTACGCGCTGCAGCCGCTGGACCACGAGGAGCTGGAGCTGCTGCAGTTCCAGGTGAGCGCGCGCGACGCGGGCGTGCCGCCTCTGGGCAGCAACGTGACGCTGCAGGTGTTCGTGCTGGACGAGAACGACAACTCTCCGGCGCTGCTGGCACCTCGGGGTGGCAGCGGTGTTGGCTTAGTGAACGAGCTGGTGTCGCGGTCGGTGGGCGCGGGCCACGTGGTGGCGAAGGTGCGCGCGGTGGACGCGGACTCTGGCTACAACGCGTGGCTGTCCTACGAGCTGCAGCCGACGGCGGGTGGCTCGCGCGACCTGTTCCGTGTGGGGCTATACACCGGCGAGATCAGCACGACTCGCGCCCTGGAGGAAGCGGATGCTTCGCGCCAGCACCTATTGGTGCTGGTGAAGGATCACGGCGAGCCCGCGCTGACGGCCACGGCCACCGTGTTGGTGTCTCTGGTGGAGAGCGGCCAGGCGGCAAAGGCCTCTTCGCGGGCATTCGAGGGCGGGGTGGCGCAGGAGGCAGCACTGATGGATGTCAACGTGTACCTGATTGTCGCCATTTGCGCCGTGTCCAGCCTGTTGGTGCTCACGCTGCTGCTGTACACGGCGCTGCGGTGCTCGGCGCCGCCCACCGAGAGCGCGTGCGGGCCGGGCAAGCCCAGGCTGGTGTGCTCCAGCGCGGTGGGGAGCTGGTCATACTCTCAACAGAGGAAGCAGAGAGTGTGCTCTGGAGAGGGTCCGCCCAAGACCGACCTCATAGCCTTCAGCCCCAGCCTTCCTCAGGGTCCTACTTCTGCAGACAACGTGAGTCATAATAATCTTGTTTTCAACAATTTAAAAATAATTATTTTAGCTTTTCTACTTAAATATTCCATATGTAATGGAATATTTTTAGTTCATACTTTTTTAGTTCATACTTTTATATATATACATTTTAAGTGTTGTGCTGTGTTTGTCCTAATTAAGTATTCAGAATTATGTTCATGTTTAATATGTACTTTTGGTTTTGGGCATGTAATCCTATAGATTAAAATCTGTGATTTATGTTGCTCACTTTCTATTTTTGGAGGAAAACTTTGCTAGTTGAAATAATGGATTCATCTTTCTATTTTATAATGTATTTCCAAAAGCCAAAGTTTGCAAATCCATACTTTGCTAGTCAACCTTCATAAATGTTATAGTAAAAAAATTTTGAGATACATTTTGACCTAACATTTATTCTATATATTGTCCTAATTTTATGAAACATATAAGTGTTTTAACATCATCTGCTTAATTTTGCCCATTTATGTTTAGTGTAGTACTTGAATTATTTTAATTTCTTATTACACCGATTTATCTTCTCTTCTTCATCATATTTGTGTAGTACTGACTTTTTAAAACTTTTTTAAATTGGATTTGCCATGTTCATGATGAATTAATATTCACTAGTCAACAATACGGTTTAAATTACAGTTCAATAGTTTTTTTATTGTGTTCCTTGTTTGTGTAGGTAATATATTCACCTTCAAATTTCAAAGAATGGAATCTAGTATGTAGTGAAAAGTCTCCTTGCTACCTCCAACCCTCAACCATTCACTGTACCTTTCTAAATTCCTGAAGCAATTTCTGTTTATTTTGTATATCACAAGGTCATGTATGTGTATGTGTGTTCACAATCTACCTTTCTTTTTCTTATTTATTTATTTATTTATTTATTTTGAGACAAGGTCTAGTTCTGTCAATGGGGCTAGAGTGCAGTGGTGCAATCATAGCTCCCTGCAACCTCAAACTCCTGGGCCCAAACAATCCTCTTGGCTCAGTCTCCAGATTAGCTAGGGTTACAGGTGCAAGCCACCACAGTTGGCTAATTTTTTATTTTTATTTTTTGTAGAGACAGGGTCTGGCAGTGTTGTCCAGACTGGTATCAAGAGATCTTGGCCCCAAGAAATCCTTCTGCTTGGCCCCTCAAAGTACTAGGATTATGGATTACCTGCAGTGAGCCACCTTGCTGGGCCCTGTCTTTCTTTTTTAAAAAACAAATGATTGCACTATAAACCTACTCTTCTACACTTTTTGTTTTTCCACTTTGTATATTGCTTTTTGTGTCATATTATTTCATATGTGTTTCCTCATTTTTTTATTTATTTGATTTTTTCAGTCTTTTATATCTGCATTTTATTTTATTATATGGATACATCATGATTTATTCATCCAGTTCTCTTTTATGGCATTAACAAAATAATGACTTAATTGTATGAACTCCTTTTTAAAATTTACAAATAATTAGGTTCTTTAGAAATGATTGTCAACTTTCACAGTTGGTAAAATCCCAATATACTTTAGGAAGTCATTTTTGGATATCTTGCTTTTTTTTTGTTTTCAATGTGAATAAAGTTCGAGGTATACCAACTCAAGAACTTGTTCAATAATCAACAGAATTATTTACCACCAAGCAGCAAATTCACATTCATCATAAAGAGACCAAATTTGCTGCTCCTGTTGAAATAATACTCAGCTTTGGGGAAAAAAATCTATAAATATTCTATACTTTCTCTGATGGTAATTGTAATTCTGTTTTTATTGCTTTGTTTATTTTTCTTTTATGTTTACATGCTTATATTTTTCCAAAAATCTTCCTGGCATGTTATTAAGAAATTTGAAAAGTCCTACTTATCTTGGGAAATGCTAGAAGTTGATAGAGGATCTTCCTCAGCCCCCCAATCTATATTCATCAACCATTATTACTTTTTTTTAAAAGCTTAATTATTTTTCAGATGTTCAAACTCTTTGACTTATGTCATGGCTATGGAATTTTTTTCTTGTTGGTAAAAAGTCTTCACAGAGGTATTGAATAATGCTATTTTCTTTGCAAAAATTTTGATATTATTTAGGATCAACTATAGAGATAGTCTTTGAGTACATAATGTGAGGACAAATTAGTTTCCCAGAAAATGCCTTTATTCATCTTTTCTATTTTACTTGTTTTTTTGTAAAGATTTTGTAGAAATTCAAAGGAGCTGTTAATTACCTACAATGTAGGCATTCATGAGGAATTCATGGAGAATTTACTTTTGAGGTGGACTTTGAAGGGTGGATAGAATTTTGATAGATATAGATGAAATAATAGAAGAAAAACTTTGAACAAAGAGTGTGTTGAGGAAGAGACAATATCTTTTCTGTAAAATATCATGCATATTGGAAAGTGGCTAGTGATCACGCTGACAGGATTGGCTCATGGTCATGTATGTATCTCCTAGATGTGAATCTAACATCGACAATTGATCAATAGAAAGGCAAACTTGATACAGGTTTTACTGCAATACAATGAAAGCAGTACTCATAAAGACAAAAATTATGATATATGAAAGGAGAACTGGGATGTACACAAACTTTAAGTATGGTAGGCAAGAGAAAAAGAGTCATAAAATATGTATATGTCCATTTGGAGAATGGCCATACTATAAAAATTGTGATTTTTTGAAGATTTAGATTTTGGGTCATTATTGATTAGATATTCTTTTGATTTTCATCAACTTGTTTTCTAGGTGATGTTAGGGTATACTAGTAAAAATGTCATGTAAAACTGCGGTCCTCAACCCCCCGGGTGGCCTGTTGGAGACCAGGCCACAGAGCTCCACAGCCCACCACACCCACCCCCAGTCTGGGAAAATTGTTTTCCGTGAAACTTGGGGCGGGGGTGGGAGAGGGCGCACAGCAAGAGGTGGATGGCAGGCAGGCGAGCAAGAAACTTCATCTGCATTTACAGCTGCTCCCCACTCCCTATCGCTCCTATCACCGCCTGGGCTCTACCTCCCTGCGCCATCCCCCATCCGTGGAAAAATTGTCTTCCATGAAACCGGTCCCTGGTGCCAAAAAAGTTGGGGACCACTGATGTGGAAAATGAAAATAGGTGTTTGTAGATACAGATTTAAGGATACTTCAAATAATAAGCTAGTTTGAAGGCATGGAAATATTAATAGAAACACTTTAGAAAAGGATGGGAAAAATAAGACAGCTAAAGATATAACTTCAGAAAATATTCATATTTTGGAGCAGCAGAAAGAAGAAGAACCAACAGAGAATCCAATGGTAGAAATACTGCTAGTGTTTGTTGTGACAGAGAAATCTATGAAGGAAAGTATTTTAAGTGAGAGGCCTATTTTCACCAGCTGCAGAGATATCAAGAAATATTGTAAAGAATATGCTTTAGATTTTTCTTACATTAGTAAATAAAACTGTTTAGGAAAATTGACACTCATTGAATAAAGAAAAGCAGAAATTTAACAATAATCCACAAGAAGATAAAATATAGAAAATGTAGAATTATATGCTCAGCTAAGAGTAATGCATAGCACTGTTTCCTGTGACGAGATAAATATTACCACATTCCTTCCACACAAAAGTATAGGTGATAGTCTACACTTCTGATATCCATGACGTATCTAGATCACATTTTAAAAATACTGGGAAGAAACTCCTTTCATTATGAAGAAAGATCACTAGCTGAAACTAAATTATTGTAAGAAACCAGACGGTATAAATGCCTCCGCACTTGATAAAGTTAAGAATGTTCTTTTAAAGTATGATAAAGGCAAGAAAATATAGCAAACTAAATATTGCGGAGGTAATTCAGGTAATCATTACCTTTTGGAGCCGCATGATGTCGCTGTCTACCAAGAAGTTCTGGCCAGCCAAGACCCAAGGTCGTTCCTCTGGCAGTATCTGTCTCTAAAAGCCGAACAATGGCAGATGCCGCGGAATTGGATTAAAAGACTCCAGAAAATACTGTAGTTCATCTTTAAACTAAGACAAGATTTTCTGATAGGAAACTGGTACTTAACATGGTGTATTCTTGGCAAGGAAACCCGGGATCCCGGCGCCTGCTGCTCTCTCTTCTGATCCTCGCAGCCTGGGAGTCAGGGAGGGGCCAGCTCCACTACTCGGTCCCCGAGGAGGCCAAACACGGCACCTTTGTGGGACGTATCGCGCAGGATCTGGGACTGGAACTGGCGGAGCTGGTGCCGCGCCTTTTCCGGGTAGTGTCCAAAGGCCGCGGGGACCTTCTGGAGGTGAATCTGCAGAATGGCATTTTGTTTGTGAATTCTCGGATCGACCGGGAGGAGCTGTGCGGGCGGAGCGCGGATTGTAGCATCCACCTGGAGGTGATCGTGGACAGGCCGCTGCAGGTTTTCCACGTGGAGGTGGAGGTGAAGGACATTAATGATAACCCGCCGGTGTTCCCATTAAAAGAACAAAAGCTGTTTGTTTCAGAATCCAGAATGCCAGACTCACGGTTTCCGCTAGAGGGCGCGTCCGACGCAGATATTGGAGCTAACTGCGTTTTAACCTATAGGCTTAGCTCTAATGATTACTTCACGCTAGATGTGAATTCAAAGAACGACGAAAATAAACTGGTTGAGCTTGTGTTAAGGAAACCTTTGGACAGAGAGGACGCTTCGGCACACAACTTATTCCTGACAGCCACCGATGGAGGCAAACCTGAGCTCACCGGCACCGTTCAGCTGCTGGTCACCGTGCTGGATGTGAACGATAATGCTCCCACTTTCGAACAGTCCGAATATGAAATAAGAATATTCGAAAACTCGGACAACGGAACAACAGTTATCAGACTGAACGCTTCTGATCGGGATGAAGGAGCGAATGCGGCAATTTCATACTCTTTTAATAGCCTCGTTTCAACTATGGTTACCGACCAGTTTAGCATAAATCCAAATACTGGAGAAATAGTAGTTCAAGGTAATTTGGATTTTGAACAAGTAAATTTATACAAAATCCGCATTGACGCGACGGACAAAGGTCACCCTCCGATGGCAGGTCATTGCACTGTTTTAGTGAGAGTTTTGGATAAAAATGATAATGCCCCTGAGATTGCGTTGACTTCCTTATCCTTGCCTGTCCGAGAGGATGCTCGATTCGGTACTGTCGTTGCCCTGATTAGCGTGAACGACCTTGACTCAGGTGCCAATGGGAAGGTTACATGCTCCCTGACGCCCCACGTCCCCTTCAAGCTGGTGTCCACCTTCAAGAATTACTATTCGCTGGTGCTGGACAGCCCCCTGGACCGTGAGAGTAAACCTGACTACCAGTTGGTGGTGACCGCGCGGGACGGGGGCTCTCCTTCGCTGTGGGCCACAGCCAGCGTGTCCGTGGAGGTGGCCGACGTGAACGACAACGCGCCGGCCTTCGCGCAGCCCGAGTACACGGTGTTTGTGAAGGAGAACAACCCACCAGGCTGCCACATCTTCACGGTGTCGGCGCGGGACGCGGACGCGCAGGAGAACGCGCGGGTGTCCTACTCGCTGGTGGAGCGGCGGGTGGGCGAGCGCGCGCTGTCGAGCTACGTGTCGGTGCACGCGGAGAGCGGCAAGGTGTACGCGCTGCAGCCGCTGGACCACGAGGAGCTGGAGCTGCTGCAGT